AAAAGAATTTCAAGTGTCGCGGCTATTGATGATTCCCTCTTGTTTTTTTAAACCTAACCAATTTTTTTTTTGCTTTATGATTTTTGTAGTCGATTTCAAATTAGTTTGGCAAGTGAGCAGGGTAAGTTCATTATTTTTCTCAGTTAGTATAATTTATCTGTTCAATTTTTAACAGTAGTAACAAAAAAAAACGTAAATTAAGAAACTGACTACGACGCGCTAATGACAAAAAGCAAAGCTAGTCATGATTCGTGAGCAACACAGAACATTTTTACATTTATAATAAAATTAATAAACCTTGGGAAGAAAGCACATTTAAATATACGATGCAAAAGTTATGTATATATAAAACTATTTTAACTTTTTCTCTCTTAAGTATTTAATAATAATATACATATATATGGATTAAGTATGATAGTTCCTGATCATTTGGGACCTAAAGAGGTGGACGCAACTACTGTTATCATAGCTGTTTGTTGGACTTCAATACCAAAAGGTATAAAAATATTCTAGGTGGATCCAGCAATCACACTAGCAATTACTTAACAAATACCATAATATTAAATCAGGTGTGTCAAATTTAGGTTTATTCCACTTTCAATTAGTGTGTTAAAAAAAACAACAGCAAACAGCTGTTCTTTTGGGCATCGCTTGTTACGTTTCACAACACACCTTATTATACTTATTCATACTTTGTAGTTATTTTTTACGTTTGAAAATTACAAAGTAGGAAAACCAACTGCAACAGCGTACAATCATACAGACGGTATAATGAAAATTAGGTTTCTGGTTTATGATTTTCATACGAACGACACCTTATACACAATGGACTAAATGGCATACCCGTTCCTAATCTCGGACTGCGGATCAGAAGGAATTCATACAATCGGCAATACCCACCACCTGATACCACCTCTTATCCAGGATTGACTGTCACTCTTATAATGCATTCACATCTTAGGTGTGTTTAGATGCACTACATTTCGAATTCAAAACCCTCGGATCAGGATACAGTAACCACAAAACAACGTTTGGAGCTTTCGGTTTATGATTACATACGCACAGACGTCAATTATAAACATTATTTAGTACTGAGAACTGTGAAAAACCTAAACACAATACATACTAAACACGATATATACTAAACAATACATACTAAACACGATACACATGCTTTTATTTCTTTTAATTATGTCCTCCGATGGGTCAGTGGTAAGTTTACAGACGCACAATGCTAAAATCTGGGGTTCAACCCCCCGCGGTAGAAAGAGTGGAGGTGGTCTATTGTGTAATGAAGCGTTTCCGGATAGGTACTTGGTCGCTGTGTGCGACCTGGGAGGGTCAGGTTCAATCACACCTCTTCCTATCAGATTAGTAGCATTGAGTGTCACACCAGTACTGCGCTAAATCCCATGTTGAGCATTTTAATCACAATGTGCCAGAACTACTAATACCAAACTACGTTTAATTCGCCCTACATTTTGGTTTCCCTTCATTAAAACAGGATGTTTACAGCAAGTAACAATCAAATATATACTTAAATAAAACTTTGGAACTACTACAAAATTTCCATACCGATATATCTTTTTCTCTTTTATATACAGGAAACGGGAGATATTCGAACTTAATATATTAGTAGCGTTGAGTGTCACATATCCCCCCACGGCCGAAAGGTCATACACTAGTGATTACGGCCTGCGACACACAATCTGCGAGACGCGGGATCGTAACCCAATGAAGAATATTTGAGTATGCCAATTTCCTTTACTTAAACAAAACAAAAACCTTTATATTAATTGAACACAGTTGTCTATACCATATAAGCATCAAGCCACCCCCCCCCCAAAAATAAAAATAAAAAATCCCAATTGTTGATATAGCGTGGAGTTTAGTAATTAACCCCCCAAAAATTGCAATTGTTTATACAGCGTGGTCTACGTATTGCATCCTACTAAGGAACAACCCCTTCAAAAAAATCCCAATTTTTATATAGTGTGGAGTCTAATGAGTAACCCTCCCAAAAATAATAACAAATCCCAGTTGTTTATATAGCGTGGAGTCTACATATTGCACCCCACTCCCCCAAAATAATAAAAAATCTCAGTTGTTTATATAGCGTAGAGTCTACATATTGCACCCCACTAAGTAACTCCCCCAAAACAATAAAAAATCTCAGTTGTTTATATAGCGCGGAGTCTACATATTGCACCCCACTAAGTAACTCCCCAAAAACAATAAAAAATCTCAGTTGTTTATATAGCGTGGAGTCTACATATTGCACCCCACTAAGTAACTCCCCCAAAACAATAAAAAATCCAAGTTGTTTATATAGCGTGGAGTCTACATATTGCACCCCCACTTCCCCAAAACAATAAAAAATCTCAGTTGTTTATATAGCGTAGAGTCTACATATTGCACCCCCACTCCCACAAAACAATAAAAAATCTCAGTTGTTTATATAGCGTAGAGTCTACATATTGCACCACACTCCCCCAAAACAATAAAAAATCCCAGTTGTTTATATAGCGTAGAGTCTACATATTGCATCCTACTGACAACTTTATTTTTTGCCTGTTACAGCACTCGGTGTAAAAATACAATTCGGTACAATAACTCATTAACAGGATCAACTAAAATACTGACAGTATCTTTATAAATGTTTTATGTGTGCGCGCGCGACTGCTTTTATTACGGAGCGTGTAACCAACGAAGCCATGGAATGGTCCTACCAGGAATTCGGCGCAAAAAGTTTAGAAAAATCTGATTAAAATGATGATGAATAGGTAATTCTACGATTAAACTGTGTGGCGTCGTAAACCATTTTTTAAAGACTCACATATTACAGTATTTTTTTTAATCATCATTAAAACTAATGAACTTTTGTTTTATTAACATCTGGTTATCGAATTTGTGTGAACCTTCAACCTCCAAATAACATTTCTTGTACCTTACTGCATACACGGGTCTATTTCCCTATCATAACTCTCGTGTACAGCATGTTATCGATAGTTATATTTACTAAACGAATGTGTTCTGTTTCAAGAGTAAATAAAAGAAAAATTAAGAGTAACAAATATTTTTATTTCTTGCTTTTGAAATTCATGTCGTGCTGTGTTGTAGCCTACAGAACGAGTAATACCTCTCGTGATTCATGGCATGCGCACGTTTTACTGACGTCACGATAGCACAAGTTGCTGCGTGAAGCGTCCCTTATGTGACATCTCTTTTAACCACTCGCACCGTATAGTTAAAAGAGATGATCCCTCCAGGCAGACTTCGGCCCTCTTTCGGGGAAATAAAAATACGTACGTGTAAAAATTATATTCTATAGTATAGTGTCTAACTCAAAATTGAATAATAATATAATTATCTACCTTGTATATAATGTTCATATTTTAGAAATAGCTTTAGAATAATTAAAAATAATTTAAAAGCAGTGTTTTAAACGTGTTCATAACATTGGTGAGCTGATACATTAACGGTGTTTATATAAAACCTGCTTGTATGCACTACAAAATATATATAATGTACTTAGTACACTTGCGCAAATCATATCGCTCAGTTTTTTCATTTACACTACACGTTTTGCCTTCTGTCGGTTACGTCTGGAATACGCGCTTTTATACGGCAGTACAACTTTTTGTTTATGACATAGCTAGCTACTACCACAGTCCCTAATTACGAACTTCCGACCACACAGCAAAGACGACCGGCTGGCAGCATTCACCACTAATTCTTGGGGTATTCTTTTAACAACGAATAGCCATTGTCACGACTGAAAGGCGAGAATGTTCGTCGCCGGGTTTCGATCCCGCGACCCGCAGATTGCGAATCGAGGGCCGTAACAATTAGTCTATGCCACGGCCGGTGTAGAACAACAGAACAAAAACACACTACTGCTTCCCGTTCTTTTATACCCAAAATAAATTTGTTAACACTTCATTAACCCTACGTACAGCTTAAAATCTAGCCTATTTAAAGCAATTACTATATTTAATCTTTTCATCTGATAAAAGAAATAGAAGAACGTTAGACAAGTGATAAAAATAGCTTTCAAAAATTATACACACATATACATATTTTACGTGGATGAAATCACGAGTCTGTATAATTTCAATTAGTGTATTTTGTGAAAATTTGCCACAATTTATAAGGTTAGAGTTCACAAATTAGTAGATGATACGGCAAGCAAATCTGCGAAGGTGATGCATACAAAAAAATTGGAACAAAGTTTTAAAACGTTATGACGTCAGAAAATGAGCTGCTTATTTACATTCAATGAATATTTAAACAATTATTTATAGGTTTTTCATTTGTAGCCTATATACATGAAAGCATTAACTCTAGTTACTTAAAAATGTATATATATACATATACACACACACACACACACATATACACACTACGTTGTTTTCTTACATCATCATATGTGCGCTTGTGTGTATAAACGTATTTCATTTATACATATTTGATGACAAAAATGTTTTGATAAAGCGCTTGATTATGGGTTCACAATTACAAGTTTAAAAATTAAAACTTTTCTACCGATTTATTGAGATGGAGACAACACTACTGCTAACGTCTTGCGAATAAAACCTATTTACGATATCTAGTTAACAGTATTTCTAAACATCAACCAATCACAACAGTTACTCAAGCGATCAGTAAATTAATGGTTCCATTACATGTTTCCTTTGTCTTCTTGTAAGTTGTTGGTTTTGATCAGCTCTGAAACATTATCATGCTTTCCCTCTTTATAGTTTTATTCTTTACCCATGGTTTGTTTCCCAACTAGAAATCTCTACCACAGTATTCCATACTTTACTAACAAGTAAAAGTATATATAAGAAAACCTGGGACTTCAATGAACACTTTATGTGACCACAAAGAAGTTTTTACTTTGTCTCTGATTGGCAAAGCGATGTGTTTTAAAAATTCGTGTACGTAATTTTTTAGTAGATTAATGAGACATTCATAGAAATTCTAACAGACGTACACACTAAATGAGAGCATATTTAATGCTACAATAGGCAATAGCTAGAAGTATAGGGTACATTCAAAGCATCAAAACACACCTCTACAAATAAAATAAAACAAGCCCTATATATAATTTTAGTAAAGACAATTTGAAAATAAACAAACAGAAAAAAAAAAAAACAGTACCTTGTGGTGCACTGAATACACTTCTTACTGTCCATCTTCATGACATTGTGTGAAAGATGTCGATTTCCTATGGAATCTTTCACTCATTCAATGTACAATTTGAATCTCTTCAGGTCCATCACTCACATCTGGCTCAGTGGTTGCTTGTACATCAACCATTAAAATTAGAGCTCTCTTAAACAATAATACCCAATGACCAGAAAAGTCAGCAAGATTATAGTAGCACAATAGTAAAGCTCAAAAACTTCATACATTTTGGTTTACATATAAGATTATAGGGCTATTAATTTACTAAAACATGCCTTTTATTACTAAGACTAACCTGTGATTAATTTTTCTAACCACTTCAAAATGTTGTGTATTTCTAAAGTTAATGCTGACCTATACATAAACACCAATGTTCACTATTCAACAATTTTATTGTTGCAGTTTCTTATTATGACATTAATAACAAAACTATTTGTAACAACAGTGCTATGTCTCAAGTGATGTAAAAACATAATACACAATAAAAACATGTCCTGCATTTTACTGTAACATAGGTTTTGAAACCTTCATAAACAGTATTTAACTATTAAATGAATCTCCTTGAAGATAGTTGATTTTCTGAAAGTTCAAGCTAGTGAAGGCATCTTGTCTTGATTTCACCAAATGTACACGGATGCAATTTACGTCTTTATAACAAATTTTAAAGTTCAAAACTATCTGACTGTCACTGTAGCTTTGTTTTTTGTCATTTATTTTCTCCATTTTCTTGAACATTTACATTTTCTTCACTTTGTACAGGTTTACTGTGAGCACTTGAAGTCTGTTCACCACCTGATTTGGAGCTATCATGATCACATTTCTCTTTTGAATCCTTTTCTCTTGGGTGCTTCTGTTGAGTAGTTTTTTCCCAACTTTTCTCTCGATCCTTACAGTCCCTATCCACGTCTCTATCTTTATGTATTCCATGGTCTCTCTCATTGTATTCCCCACGATCCTTCCTCCAGTAGTCTCGTTCTCTATCTGACCCTGTTCTTCCCCTTTCTCTTTGCCAATCATGGTCATCCCGACCTTCATTTCGTTCCCATGGTTTGGGGAATGGAGGATGGTCAGGAAACCTCTGTTCAATATTTTCCCTGTCATTCATTAATCTTCCTTTAAAATCAGGTCGGCCAAAGCGTGGTTCAAAGAACTCTCTAGGAGGAGGAAAACCTGCCCGAGGTCCCATTCTATCAGGACCTGATCCAAAGTTTAAACGAGGTCGATTCCAACCAAAAGGTGGTCCTCGTGGACCAGGTCCCATTCCTGGTCGTGGCCCATTAAAATCCATTCTAGGTCGAGGTCCACAATAGGGAGAAAATCCACGTGGTGGAGGTCCTCTTACAGGGCTTAGGAGGGGTGGCTGTGAAGGAAAGTTAATTTGTTCTGGTGGTGCTGGTCCTCTAGGTCTTGGACCAAAATCAAGAGGTGTTTGTGGAGGAGAAAGTAGAACTTTTCTTTCATTCTCTGGTGAATTTTGCTGAAGGACACTGTCACTCTCTGTTTTTTCCTGAGTCTCACTTTGTTGTTGGCTGCTTGGAAGAGAAAACTGAGATGGTTGAAAGTTTGGTCTAGGTGGAAGAAACCGAGGCACTCCTGAACCACCAGGAGGCCCAGCCTGTTGTTGCTGTCCTGAATTATTATTTGACAAGAGGGATGGATGCCTCATGTGAAAAAAACCTGGATTTGGTATTCTAACATTATTGTGTCCTTGACCTTGGTATGGACCTGCCATGTGTGAACCAAGACCTGCAACGGGAGGGTGAGGAGCACTGTAAGGTATGCGTGGAGAGCCAAACTGTGAAGGAACTGCCACTGTGGCTGTAGCATTAGTCTCTCCTGTACTTGATGTGGATGGTGGTAACTGATTGGCCACTGTTCCCCAGGGCATTGGTCCTCCCTGTAATGTACCACCTTGAAAGTGTCCAGAGGGTCTAGCTAGTGGTTGAAAGCTTCCAACAGGAGGTAAGAAAGGCATCCGTGGAATGGTTGATTGAACTGGAGGAGGAACTCCTGAATGTATCTGATCAACTGAAGAAGCAGTTGGCATAGTATTTGAAAGTGAGGGAATATGAGGCAGAGACGACCCTGAAGATGAATCTCCACTAGTTGTGGTAATGGTTGTGGGTTGGTTCTCTATATTGTTAGATTCTATGGGCAAACAAGTCCCTTCTTCTTCTGTTGGAGTAGCATCTCCTGAAAGATCCATGGCCTGAGAGACAGCATTTGTTGTGCTAGGAGATGGGAGTGTTGACTGAACCACATTTTGGGCTGTACTAAAAGGCTGAAGCTGTAATCCATCATTAGTGACAGAAACTGGGGCCATACTAGGGATAGGGGGCAATCCACCCATTACGGCAAGAGAATGGCCTCCAACTACTGGTTGTGTGTTTTGAGACATCATCATCACTGGGTTTCGATGAGCTCCCACTGGAATTTGCAGCTGAGGGATTACCATGGATGGAGTTGGTACCATGCCTGAAGAAAAAAATAAATAAAAAAACAGAAGAGAGGAAAATGAATATTACTTACAATACAGCACACTATTTAAACTTCTTTTTTAAATATTTGTTATCACTACAAATTTTAGCTGAAAAAAGATAGAATCCATACATCACCTACGGCAGACATATATTTTTTTTACCTGGTACTGGTATTCCAAACTGTGGCTGTACCATCTGAGGAACCATCTGCATGTTTATTGAAGGTAGTCCTGGTACTAGATTCGCTACAGACTGGTTAGCTGCATTTTCCTGATTCTTCATAACCTCTTCTTTGGCTTGCTTTATTGCTTCTTCCTTCTCCTTCTGTCTTATTCTTTGTTGTTCTATAAAGATGAAAGTCAACTTTATTCAACTAAAATTAGTGATTAGTTTAATAGCTTCTAGGAAATCCAAACACTATAAATAAAATTCAAAACAAAAGGTCTAATGATATATTTTATGGTAAAATTTCCATATGATACAATCTTTTAAACAAAAATTAGTATAAGGTACACCATAGAGCAACTGGTACATGCCCTTGTTTCAATACATTTATGACTGAAGGAACAGAGGTGTACCACTACATCAACATTTCTAATATAAAATTACACACACAGACACACAAGTTATGTATTAGGCACTGTCAAAGTTTTCTTATCTTCTGTAACTCACTTTTTGCTTGACTCAAAAGTCAATAATTTTGAAAGGCAAGTCTTATACTTCCCATATCCTAAATATTGCATGAATTCATAAGTCATAATTTAAACAACCTGTCTATTAATCCTTAAACATCACACCTATAGCTAAACTCCCATTTTCTTAGACTCTGATGAGATTCAGTGTAATAAATTGTATGTAGTCATTGTATCTCTAGTCATTTCTCTGTTCTACATTCTCATCATGGTGGTCTTTAAGTAATGTATTGATTTTACAATCACCAATGCTTTCTACATGTGTATTACACACAACTGTACAGAAAGTCAAAAGCTAACTGAGGAAATTTTAGTAATTTAGTATTCCCTTACTTTTATGGACTACTCCTGGATTGGTTTTATAACTTTTTAGATTTTAACTAAATGAGTATTGTTGTTTAGCAAATAAAGCAAACTACAACATTAAGATATGTCATACAATATCATAGCCTCTATTCTGAAACTAGAAAAATAAAACACATTTTCATGGTTTTTCAGTCACACAGACATACACAGGTTCTAGTTTATATAATAGTACTGCCTGTTGTATGTCCATGTAACTACTTTGCAGGGAGTGGATGGATCTTCACCAAATTTAGTATGGAGGTTCATTGTGTCCATGCAGAGATACATATAAATTTTCAGTTTTGAAGTTCTTATTGGTATTTTTGCATTTTTTACCATTACCTCATCTCCTGTGGATGGATCTTCACCAAATTTAGTGTGGAGGTTCATTGTGTCCATGCAGAGATACATGCAAAGTTGTGGTTTCACATTTTATGTTTTACAGTTTTTATGGGCATTTTTTATAATTACATATTAGGGAAGCTACTTTTCATGTTTTAAGATAACCTTTCATTAATCATGAATTTACATACCTTCTGTCCAGGTGATGGGTACTCTAGCTAGCTTTAAATATATTACATTTTTGATTCCTTACTATGTTTTACATTATTTTGGTATCACTTTACTCACTCACCTTTTCTTGTCTGGTATACAATAACACAAAAGTCTAAATTCTCTTGGTGTTCTGCAGCTTATTAGTTTACAAAAAGTTTTTCTTGTAATATTTGTATGTTTTCGGTGAACAATTTTTTGTTTGATGATAATATGGGAATCTAACTTTGTGATCTCAAAACAATTTGAAGAGACTACGAAAATTAAAAACTATGAAGCCCACATATTCAGAGGTATTATAATTATGAGAGATAACTAAGGAAGCTTGGTATTAAAATCAGTATGATTAAGATATTCAAACTGCTATGTTGAATCACACTGCTGAAACAAGGGGAAGATCATGAATAGCTTCAGTACCTTTTAAATTGTTGGGCACTGACTGTTCGTCTATCATGCCACCTTCTTCCAGAGAATCAAGATCCACATTTTCTGGAAGTTTATCATAGGGAATGTAACTAACTCCTACATCCACTTCCCAGTAGTCTTTGTATTCCTTTCCTTTCATACCTTTACCAGGAGCCCAAGCCATCTGTAAGAAAGCAATACAAGTATATATCCATTTCAGCAAAACTCACCAGATGCAAAAACTTGAGGATCTCTGTACCTGAGGTTGCTATCAAATATATACACACACATAAAAATGGTCATTTTCTTTATAGCGTTTTACCTGAAAATTATTATCCATATCCTATAACTTTTTTCTCCCAAATATTATATGAATGTTTAATAAATAGTGTTTTATAACTTTAATTTATTTAAGAAAGGAAAAAAAGAGCATTCTACAAATATTATTTTAAATACCAAGAAACTAATAACAAATTAAAACTTAGGTAATTATTATTCAATTTAAATCACAGTATAAATTTAGTTTTTAAAATTAGAATGAAATATAATGGATCTGAAAATATTAAAAGGAAATAATGATACCTTAATTGAGCTTCCTTGAAGCTTTAAATTTTTTAAGGACTGTAGAGCCTTATAAGCATCCTGTCTTCTATCCATGCAAACATAAGCACATCCTCGGGGAGGAATCATCTGAAACAGAGTTCTGGAATGACTGATCTTGTATAAATATGTAACATATTGTAGAGAGAATCAAACCATTTGATATTAAGATTTTTTAACTCTCTCAACACGGGCTCAGTCAATTTGACAGATCACGTGACCTCTTTGTGCTCTTTAAAGTCTTTATAGATTTGATACTACTAACTTTTAATATAGTGTGTATATCTTCACAAAATTCGGCAGTCTTTCACATACACAAAATCATATATTTCTAGTGAAGTATTTTTAATAAACTAAAAAAATATTTGTCCTTGAATATATTGAGTATTCATTTTGAACGGTCCATGTGCAAAGTGGTTTTCACGTTAAGATTAAAAAACTTTTCATCTCAAATTTCATTTCTGCAATCTCTAAAACCTCCTAAATACATTTCAAATGTTTGTTTTCAGGAAAACTTTATACTTTATCTGTTATTTTCTCTACCCTAACTCTATACGTGGTTGGTCAATTTGACCGATCTCGTAACCACGCACACACACACACACACAAAAAATTGAAATAAATCTAAATTACCCTTTTTTTTCATTTCTAGAATGACATCAAATGTAACATGAAACTACATTCATTTATCACAAGTAGCTTTAAACTCGTAACAGTATACATCTATTTATAATTAGATTTTATTGTTTTATTGCTCTTTGAAACATGTCTAACTACTATTCGCACCATTTTAAGTTGTAAATCATTTGTAGAATGTGCAACTCACATTACACTACAGAATTACTTTACCCACGAGCTACTCCGAGCTGCTTGTGTGCATGACTCGTGAAATATTTTTATTTTATTATTATTTATTTTACCTAATCTAACTATAACTAACCTAAAAAATCCCTATTTTTACATTTTAGTTACTTACATAATAACTATATAATAAACATGTAAAAGAAGAAATAAAGTACTTACCCGAGTATTCTTTTTTTTGCTGTCGACTATCGATAACACTTAACCCTACTTTTTTTATACACTAATGGTAGTAGTGCATTAAATAATGCACCAAAGAACACAGAATAATAACATGCAAAAAGTAGACAATGTCCTCAATTTTTCTGGTTTTCTAACTATGTGACAAGAGCCATTACAAATTCATCCAAGTTACTCATTACCACATGATACAATGGTTAATTAAGTTCCTGAATGATGCAAGAACTATAACATGGAAAAATTTGGTCACTTTTATTCCAAGGTTATGCTCATAAACGATCAAAATAAGAGAATGGTATATATATAAATAAACTTGTAACCAAAATTCTTTTCATGTTTACTTTAATAACTCAGAACATCATATTTTTTTCTGCTTTGGAGTGTGCAAATACAAGCAATATAAGCAACCTTCCCAAAGAGATTAATGTACTTTCATTGACAATTCATAAACACACCACTATAAGATTAAAAAAAAGATTAAGAGCAAAGTGTTCTAAAAACACTGCTATAAATTAGGGCTTCATAAACAACAAAGAAAGGAAAAGGGTTGAAAAATGAATATAAAAATGTTTATCACGGTCCAATATTAACTCAATTTTAATAAAAATAACAAATGAATTTACACTAAAAACCAAAATAAAATTTGTTTATACTATATTACATAAAACATACTTACATCAATACTTGCTATAGTGCCAAACTCTGCAAAAGCATCGTGAATATCAGCTTCTGATACAATTTTTGGAACATGACCGAGCCATAAGGTGGTGCTACAAACTAAACAAATAATAATAATTAAACACAGGCAAAATATTCAGAATCTGTACATGCACTCAAAAACTAAATCACAATATTATACTACAAGTATATGACTCAAAGTAACTATAATATGTAAAGTCTTTGTGAGATACAAAACAGTGTAGCTATAGCTTTACTATATTGAAAAGAACATTTTTCAGTTTAGTTGAGCCATATGAAGCAGCCTAACCCATTTTACCTTTTGGTGGTGGACAACAGTCACAAATTCTGTACAACATGACAGTTACCTTTACAGCATTTATAGACAGGTGGATATTATTACAAACACAAACCCAGTTTAAAATCTGGAAGAAAGAATTTCTTCAAGTATTTCCAATACAGTTGGATGGGAATAATAACAAACAATTCTTAGAAAACAAAGTATTAACAGCTGTTATAGTTTATTCATAAAAACTCTGAAAAACAAAGCAAATCAATATAAAGATTTAGAAAAACTCAACTTCTATGACAGTAAGGCCACAAACATGAAGTATATGTCAGTGCACTAAAAACCATGTTGGATGTATCCATAAGATCATGCAGTGTTTAGGATGCTGGCAATTATTATATATTACAGCAAAAAAGTTGAAAACTGAGCTTCATAAATGTAATGAACCATTTAAATTAATTAATTTCAGTGCAAATCTCTCACGAATATTTAACCCTTTGTGGACCTCAGAAGTGTCATTGATATTCCTTGATATTTTTTCATCATAACAGTGGAAAACACTCAAACAATTGCGAGAAACTTAATGCAAGCTTTGAAAGTAGTGTCTAGTTTTGACTTTAAAAAATAATATAACTTTAGTTTTTATAATATTTCTTAGGAGTAAAACCTCAAAAAATATTAAAAAATACTTCCTTTCACCTTACAATTTCAATTTTTGTTATTGTTGATCAGAAACTTCTATTTTACAAACCCAGTCAATCCCATTTGACTGACACTCATTAACATATCACTTTTAATAATTTACTTTGCTGATTACAGTAGTCAGTATTTTCAGCTATAAATCATAAAAATAATGGAAAAACTGATTTATCAGATCTAGGACATACCTTTCAAAATACCTTTGTATAGTTAAGTATCATCATTTTTTTGCTAATGATATTTATGGTCAAGATTTATTTATATCAAATACACTTTTTTCCAATAAATAAAAATTTCTTTTAATTGTGTGCATTGTTTTAACATGATAAACAGATAATTTGATAGCAAAAAATCCTTTGAAACCAGAACACCTATATAAAAAACACACCAGGTCTGTGATTTGTTTCAAAGTTTTCTAAACTTCTCATTAGATTCTTCTATTCACCCCTTCAGGTGCTACACCTACTCGCTTTCCTACAAAACCACTGCTCAAACTTGATGTACACATTCTACAGTTTGCTCTAACCAATTATATTTAAACACTGCCTAGAGCTATTTTCAAAACTTTGTTTCATTAGTAATTGTTCAGACATCATAAATTGATAAGATAGGAGGACAGTAGTAATAAAACCACTATCAAAGAATGGAAATCACACACAAAAAAGGACATGGATAGTTACATTCTCAATGAATGATAGTTTTCTTGGCAAGTATAAACCTATATATATATACTCTGGGTATGAGTACAAAAATTCTAAAAAAATTTACCAACTGCTTTTAGAAGCAATACTCTTTGAGCTACACGGAAATGAAAAGTTTGAGGATTTTTAAAAATTTTTCTCTGTGAAACATTCAAAATAATTCTGAGTAAAAACTGTTGAAATGCTGTTAAAATTATCATTTTAGTTAAATTTTGATATACAGGTCTATACTGATCACCTTATACGTCATCCACAGTATGGATATGGTTAACACATTTATTTCTAACACCTTATTTTAGGTGACTTATATGACAGTAACACCATGATTTTCCATTTGGTCAGTTGGATATTATGGAAGTGGAAGAAAATTTGAAACATGAATAAGAAATAAACTTAAAACTATACATATGTATTACATGTAATTTTTTTTCATATTGAAAAATGCACAGAAATGCCTATAAATAGTAAGGAAACACTCTCCTATATATACAAACAAATATTACAAACTCTGCTAAACCTTCTACATGTGTAAAACCCAACCCTTAAGAAACATACACATATATACATCGCTTCTAATTATGTCTGTACATAATTGGAGCCAATATTAAACTATCAAAACTAGTTATTTATCTGTAACAGATGTTCTATACTGAAACTTACCACACAAATAATTTTTCTTTAATGGGGGTAAACCTTTCTTCCTTCTTTCCCTTTCACGCTCTCTTTCTCTTTCTCGTGATCTAGATCGAGATCTTCTTTCTCGCTTATGTCTAGATCTACTACGAGAACCAGATCGAGATCGTCGTCTCCTGGGTGACCTTGATCTACTTCGTCTACTATGTCGACGAGAAGACCTACATAAAAGATTTATTAACAAAACTCAAGAAAGCCCAATTAAAAACTACAGTCTAATATAGATCTTGATAAAAGTCACAAGTATAATATCTTTATCTTCCAGTAAAATGATTAAGTGTCAACAACCTTTATTTTGTGAAACTTTTATGTGAAATGATTATTCTGGTAAATCTCATATTTAAAGGGAAAGGAAACGACTTTATCATTAAAAATGTTTCCTTATTTGATACATACAAAATCCTAAATTGGAATTACATAAATGAAAGACAATTGCAGAAATCTTCTTGTAATATTTTTGTCAGCACCATATCAGTTAGGCAGTAACAAATTACATGATATTTTCTGTCATGTATATTAAACATGCTTTATCATGAATTACAAGAGACACAAAAACTTTAATGATAACTTTATTAACCAACCTAGATTTGTTGGATCGAGATGGTGACCTCGACCTGGAACCCGACCTTTCTCTATCATCTTTGTCCTCTACTCCAATGTGCTGGGCTACTCTTTGTCTTTCATCTTGATCCTCAAGAGGAAGAGAGATATTGTTCACTAAACCAAATGAATGCCGGCTATCGTCCTGTTCAGAGTTCACAGAGCTGGGAGGCAGGGGGGGTTGCTCATAGCTTAAAGGTGGATACCTGTTAGCAGATTCTTGCCCAGTTGGAAATTGTGGTGGTGGTTCAGGAATGTATGATAAACAATTGGTTCCAAATACTGTAGCTGGCTCAGCATGTTCAGTAGACTGCTGGATGCCAAAAAAAAAAATTTTTGTAAAACAAAAAAACAGATTTTAGTATTTTATAATGAATAGATTTACAGTAGCATTGCATATAGTTAAACATAAAAAAAGAGGAACCATGACCATATGTGTGCCTTCTAAACCTTAAATTTATTATTTTAGTTTAGTTTCTAAAAACTTGTGTTTAATTTTACATATTTCTTTTGTGCATTTTTAAAATTTTATGAGTGTATTAATGGTTATTTACAAGTATGTTTTTCTTTTTTCAGATCTTACTTTAGTTGGACCCCAATTTCCAGCTTGACTCTCATGGAACTTTAACCTGCTTTGTGCCATAAGGCCTAAGACACACCTGTTTGTATGTTGTGACACAGAACATACAAGATATCTTAACCTTTCTTTCCTGCACAGATGTACTACCTTAACTATGCACACAACGCATCCCAACCATTTTCCAACTGAGGAACAGCTAGTTCCAATTCCAAAATTGCACAGATAACTTCGTATAATTTTAACTTTTTAAAGGACTTGAAATTATACTGTAAAACAATATATTTCACTAGCTATGCTTTTATAACATTTTTTTTTCCCAATTTTTTTGTGGACAGGCTTTGGAAAACCACTATATAGATCATATCAAAAACATCTGACTACTGCATACCTTCAGCAGGATAACATCACAGAAGTTTTATAATAAATCATGAGGATTGTACAATATTCCCAGATCAACACTGACGTTTAACCATGACAAACTTGATCAACTATACTTTCACTTGCACAAGGGGTTTCCCTCTCTATCATTCCAGGAAAATCAAAGCAGTAAATGTTGGAGAAATCTCAGTATCTATCCCAAATAAGTTCTAAATACTGGATGCCTGTAAAGTGTGTATTGCATGCACATATATTGAGATGAATATTACACAACTGAAACCAGTAGGTATAAAAATCTCATGCAAGCAATTAACTACTAAAAGACAAAAGAATATGACATTATGAAACAAAGGATTCTAGAGTGACATCTAAAATAGTTTTGTGACTTGAAACTATGTAGCAGAAACCAGAACATTATTAAAAAACAACTTCTGTACAGGGAGTAAACGATGTTGCTGCACTAACTGGGTTAAAGTTACACAGAAACCAGCCAAGAAAGGGTAAGCATTACTAACAGGTGCCAAATAAAAGAGCCGAACCATTCTCATACGTTATCTTTTAAAATACCTACCTGTGGGATTTGTTGGGAAACAGGCAAATCTTTTTGTTCTTCCAGGCCCTCTTGCACTAAGAATTCTGTTTTAAATACATCATTCTGTTGTATTGTTTGTTGCATTTGCTGTAGCTGCTGCAGGAGTTCAGGATTAGATAGCAGATTCTGGGCCATACTAGAAATTAATGTGAAATATCAAGTTACACCATTACAAACATAAGATAAAACTTTTCATGTGTATAACCTATTTTTATCATTCACTATTATAGTCATGTTTTAATAATAATAATGTTAAATGGGTTTTGTTTTTGCCAAATTTATTTTGAGAAAATACATACTTTAAAATTTGTTATATTCTAACTGAAGAATGTTTTTAGCAGTTACCATAAAAAAAAAAGAATATTGCTATATTAAGTCTCAAAACTATGTTCATAGGATGAGTCTATTGGCTTTAGCCCATACTGAAGAATTAATATGTACTATAATTCCTAATTTACTACCTTTATCTTCACACAATTTGGTAAGCTTTTAGTAAACACTACAGGTTTTACCCAAAAAATCATAATTTTTAACAAAGTATTTTTACAAACTACTTGTCTGTGAATTTACTGACTCAATCAGACTCAGACTAGTCCGAGGTGCAAGGTGATTTTCATGTTGAGATTAAAAACACTTTGTTTCATCTTATATTTTCCATATTTCAGAACCTCTTAAATGAATATCAAGTGTTTTCAGTATTTTCAATCTGTTAGTTTCTCTATCCTAACACTAGCTGAAGGAAAATCAACAATGAAGGGAAAAATGAAATACTGAAAAATACAAACTAAATCTAAATTATTATTTTTTCCTTTCTTTCTTTCCAGAATGATTGAATACAGTAACAGACAATTACACACTATTTATTCTTATAGCTAAAGCTAATACTTTTCAAATCTTGGGATGATTAAGATCTATTACTTTACAGCTGCATTCACAGTACAGTGAAAACAATTTATCACAGTAAGGTATCTTTGTGTGAACTAAGGATCGAGTAACCAGTATGTATAGTCAAGTTACAACCATGCTGTGCAGATCGCAGGTGACGTGCCTGTGCTATGATTAATATTTTCATTTAATTCATTGAAGTTTTATCTAGCCTAATAAGTTTCTAATTTTTACATTTTAGTTACTTTTATAACAATAAATATAAAACAAAAAATTTATTACTTACACGAAGAATTTTGTACTTCTTTTTTTTAAGTTTTTTTACTCTCAAAGTATCAAATCAATTTAACCCTACTTTTTGATGGGGTTGTTGGTAGCACATTAAGTAATTTTTATTTATTTCAAATATACAATTTAAAAAACAATATTAACATGCACAAAAAATACAATGTCCTGAAACTATTATAATTTAAGTGGCTTTCTGACTTAGCAACAAGTGGTTTAAGTGATTCTCTTAGATGATCGAGGTGATCTCAACAATGGCAATCAGTGAAACTGTAGACTGAATAATTCAATACGAAATGTCAGAAAGAATTGTTGACTTTTTTTTTCTTCTAAAGACATCATGTTGGTTTACTTAGTGGATATTCCAGTAAATTAAGAAGATTTGGAGGCTATAGATTTACATTATAGCTTAGCAATACTTGTACTGAAGTTTGTAATTTGTGACATACCCAGAAAATGATATAGTGGTAGAAAGAAAATCTAAAATGTGCAGAACAATTCATGTGATATAGAGAAGTGAAGACTGAGAATCTATTTAAATATTTATCAAAAACTTTAAGTGTTTAATTAAATTTCAATGTTGACTGTAAAAAGGTCATGACATGTACACAAGACACCCCCCCCCCCCACTGAGCATGTATGGATAAGTGGTATTAATTAAGCAGTTTATATTATCTCAACCCTTTCACAGCCACTGTATGGTAATACAACTTTAACCTTTCATTAATGAAAATTAATAACTCATATAAGGTCTCTAAATCTACACCTGAACAAACACACACATTTCAACCATGTATAAAAATATCTATTGGACACTTTGAAATACAAGTTTGATTTTTTGGGTATATAATTATAATGAAATAAAAACCACTACATAACATAACTATATACTATGCTATTATGTAGAACACCCATAACCACCAGCCTACAAGCTATGTTACTTAAACAATCAGCCTAAAAGTAAACAGATTGTAACTCAAGGTTCATAACTATCTTTCTTACACTATCTAAAATATTGTTTATTATACAAAATGATTCATTGTCCAATAGACACGCATTCAACATTTACATAATTTTTTTTATCTTTTTCACAAAACTGTTACTTCTTTTTTTTTTATCTATTTCATTCGAACAAACATGCAAATATTTGTGTAGGCTTAATGGAGTAGGAAGAAATTTGACCTAGTATGAGCAATCATTACAAATAACACATCACGAATTTGCCCACTTTTTAAAAGAAATGGTGCAATAAAATATCTTCTAAAGCATTAGAAATAATATAAATATATCATATTCTGATTTATACAAAGAACCTATCTTTGTCCTACACAACTGTTTTCAATACTACAGGCCAGAATATACAATGAGGCTTCCAGTCTGTGTTCTTTACCCTTTCATGGATATTTTAGTACAAACAGTTACATTCTGTTATAAATAAACTACCCTACTTGAATAAAATAAACACACATGGAAACCTGTTAAGTTCGTTACCTTTCTGTAACACACAAAAAATAAAGAAACTGTTAATAACTTACACATTATACCAAACATAGCATATAACAAGCCTCATGATAATTTATCAAAATATTTGGAATTTTCCATTCCATATAAGATAGAATGGGAGTTCTATGGACAAGAGACTGGGAGAAAGAAGATACTCCAAAATCTCAGATGATATATTTATGACTGTGACAACTTTAAAAACAACAAAAAATGCATGCAAATGGTTGAATTTTACAGTTCTACAAGTTTGTTCTATGTCTATGCATTTTCAGCTTTGTTTAAAGGAGGCTTAAGGTTAACAATTAGGGCTAAAGTTTTAATTTTTGTAAAAATTATTTTATCTAGAAACAAATATTAGTGAAGCATACATCAAAAGAAAGTTTGAGATCTCAACATTTTAGTTATAATTATATTTTGGAGAAAATTTTTGGGGATACATTACAAATAATTTTTTAAAATTTGATGTTGCACATTTTCTCAAAGTGTGACCCAAAATGCCCATGTTGAAATGGGTTAACCCTTTTGATGCAGACATCCTTTACTGAGCATGTTATGAGGTTTTCAGTGAGTTACATTCAAGATTTATTTTAATTTATTCATGGAATACCAATAACTATAGCATAAAAATGTAGCTAATAATCCATATTTTAATAATATACAAGTTTAAAGTTTTTATTTTATAAGGCAATATTAAAAACAAATCCTGAATTTCCCCTACTGTGAGAATTGTGACATTTCCTCTCTAGGCCTCCCCTCTTCTCTAATTTATTTACCACACCTCCAAGAAGTAAAGAATTTGGTTACAGAGCCACCAAATAGAAAATCAGATTTCTCTTGCCATGCCCACCTGTCACATCCTCTCTTTCAGGAATTGCCAATAGTTCTCTCAGACATTAAATACTATATTATTTATAACCAATAAAAAGCCAAGGTTTTCATCTATCAAATAATGTATTATATTATATTGTTTTCTGTAAAGAAAAGTGTCAATTTAGTTTTTAATTCAAGCTTGATTCCCACAGGAAATACATCGATAGCATAGATGAATTTGTATTGGTTCTTACCGCATAGTTAGAAAGCCATAAAAATTGTGATAGTTATGGGACATATCTGCTTTTTGTAT